AGGACTGGAGTAGGAATTCTGTTCATGCTCAGAGCATTGAAGATGCTCTGAAGATGCTGGCCACAGAGACTGGCAAAACGTCAGGAAGAACAACCTTCAGAACATAGCCAAAGAGGCCGAAAAACCCACAACAACCATTTTTCGTTTTCCTTTACTCAGACTCTGAGGAGTACACATGTTCGCTGTTCTTATGCCATTCTTTTCAGACACACTGAAAATGTATTCACTCTTATAGCTCTTATAGCTTCCTGTATCACAGAATGTGTGTGATGGCATCTCTCAAGACTAATCTTCTTCTACATCTTTTTCTTCTGCTCATCAAGTTCAACAGGGATCACATGGCTGATTTTTTAGGCAGGGAAACAATCATTATCTGTATTTCTTATTTCATGTTGAACATTATGCCACACTTTCCTGAATGCATTTAGTGTTTCAGTACTATCCTGGCTTCCCAGTGGATTGATTCTCTTGTCAAAACTTGTTATTTTTATCTCAAGCAGTGGTATTCAAGTTCACACTTTCCTTTTGCTGCTTCTACTACAAAAATGCTTCTAATATTTTTCCTCTTGATTACTGCAGTACTCTGTATGATAATACTCTGCTGTCCACATTGTAGCACTTTCTCCCTTTTGTAATCACATTCTTCCTAATGTGTCTTAGATGTCTATTTGTTGATCTCATTCAGTTTCAGTCTTGGTCTACACACTTTTAACGTTCCTAATACATCTGGATACTCTCTAAGCTCTAATGAGAAAATGTTTCCCATTCTGTCTGATGCTGGAGAGGGCCAACAAAATCATGGGAAACAGGATTTCAAAGGAGTTATGCAGGAAGGTAGGGCTTTACAATAAGTTTCAGAATGCTGTCAGAGGAATGTTAGCCATAGAACGAAGAAGAAATTTCATCATAGGTCCAGGTTTTCATGCTGAACTGCTTACTTTATGTTTGACGGTGTATTCTTACATATTTCTACAGTATTCAGACATTAATCCTATTGGAGGTAATATTGTTTACTCCCAAGTAAGGTGCAACTGCAGGTTTAGTATTCTTATATATTTGAGCAGTCTTTATCTTTCAATCCAGTTTTTCACTTCATGTTTCAGATGGGACATTTTCTTTGCTCTCTTCTTCTTCTATCTAAAACCTTCTTTTCTATCAAATCTTTCCCTGTCTTCGTATGCCTGGAGTATTTTTCCAGAAAACATTAATCAATCTTCTTTGCTTTCTAAAGTTCTCAAAAACTATTTTACCCATCTGTTTTCCTATTCTCCCATAGAGTCTCATTAAAAAACCCCAACAATTTTAAAGCTCCTTAAAATAATACATTACTGAAATTCAAGTATGTTTTACCTTCTGTATATTATTTTCTGATCCCTATTTCTTTCTTACATCTCCTTTCTTTTCTTGGCTGTTCTAACATTGTAATCTACTTTGCTGAAAAGGTACACACTTGAGTTTTAATTTAAACAAAATATTCTAGATTGGATAAAATACCAATTTAGTTATGATAAATCATATTCAAACTGGTTGACAAATTGTTAAAAAATCTTACGCCATTATGATTAAGGTCAATTGCAACTAACTAGCTGTTTTCAGGACTCTATTTTAAGAAGTAGAAAAGTAAGATCTTAATAATAATTCAACCATTATAATTCAGATTTACATAATTATTAAACTGCATGCACATCAAGAATACATCATTCCATCCATTAGTGGCATCCATAAACGGCTGGCATTAGTGGCCTATCTGGATGAATCCTCCTAAGTAAATGACCTGGAGCTCCTATTTTGACTTCCTTGAGCCAAAATGCCATAGAAGAACAGTTTATGTTAGTAGGATCAACTTGGGGCAAATGAAGGTTGTCATAAAGTGCTCAGGAGAGAATGCAGTCACACATACAAGTGTCTTAACACAGAGAGATGAAAGTTAAACAGCTGCTGAATTAGTCTTAGGGAATGCAAACATAGGGCAAGCTCAATTGGTCCAATGAAGCAGGGCTTTTTTTTGCAGAATAAGGACTCATTCTGGCTAAAGGGATAGTAAGGAGCAATACAGTGTCATGACAAGACTTTTCTTTAGGTGGTGCTGATGCTCTGCAGCTACACTCAGAGGGGCTTTGAATGATTTGGCTCAGAGACCTTCAGTTCTGGGAACAGAATGCAGAAACAATATGAGCACACCAGGCGTCACACTCCAGTGCTGTCTCTTATGACTAGCTCTCTTCCCGATCTTCCTTGTACATGGAGCACTTACTGACCTTGTGACTGCCACTCAACTTGTGCTTAATCTCTGGGCTGCTTTCAAACCCTGTTTCTGGTATAGACTCTTGCAACAACCATCTGCTCTATCTGTGGACAATCTAAAATGAAAATCTGCTTGAATCACCAATTTGTTGGCTCACATCCTCTTGTTCTGTAGAAATTAGAAGTTCTCTTCCCCTCTATCTCAAACCAAGTGCATGTTCCCTGTAGATATGTGAGATTTACTGTTATTTCCTTATATACTAATGCACTAGTATATCTCTCATCTCTCAGTTTATGAACAGAAGAGCAAGAGGCCTTTGCTATTAATGCTTTGCTAATAAGATAAAGACTAAACATATCTACTCAGAAGCAGGTCCCACTCAGTACAGCATTGCAACCTAAATTTCTTTTCCTATAGCAACCTGTTGGAAAGAGTTAAAAGTAACAGGAAATGAGGAAGACCAAATGCTGGGTGAAACTGAAGACAATAAGAAAAGAGATGGATTCTTATAACTGCAGAACGAAGAGTTAAAAGCAATAGGAAATGAGGAAGACCAAATGCTGGGGGAAACTGAAGACAATAAGAAAAGAGGAAGACCAAAAAAGAGATGGATTCTTATAACTGCAGAACTAGAAGTGACCCTATGGATCATCAAGTCCAGCCCCTGTCAAGGAAGCACAGTGGTTCCGCAGCCAGATCCTTAAATCACTGAGAAAGCTGCAACCTTAAATTTATAATTGTGACTCAGCAGAGAAAGCTGCAACCTTAAATTTATAATTGCTGAGCAGTACTGTTAATGAGACGACAGACTCACAAGATGTCATAAGCAACTTGTTGGCACATAAGAACAATAACAACCTGCATTAAAAGTATTTCTCTTAATGACAGAGAAAGTTGGGACTGTTAGACCAGCCATCAGCCCTTCAACACCTTTCCATTACCTAGAAAAGCAGGATGGTTTCACCACAGTAATTGGGCAAGGAAAGGACTAAAACAGCTTGGAAAAGTTATTTTTTTAACTAAAACTGCCGGAATTCCTCAGATAGTATGACTATACTGGGATTAGGAGGGACAGCCCAAAACATAGCTTCTTCAAGTTGCGGAAGCAAATGGTAATAAGGCTTAAGAAAGTATGATTGTGTGTCCTCTCTTTTTATAAATAACCACACAGGACTTCAGTTTGCAGGAAAAGTATCATTTTCTCTCAATTAGAGGGCTAGCTCCAAATTAAACATGCCTACATTTATATAATTAAATCACAAGAGCTTTAAGGTGATACACAAAGCCCCCTCCCCCATTTTATCATTTCAGCTGTCTTAGGAAGTAGATTAGGCTAAAGTACAGTAGCTAGTACAAGACAACCAGGTAAGCTAACTAACCATTTGAATTGAGACCTTATCAGTTTTTGTGAAGTTCTCTAACCATGAAACCTTACTAGACTGGACAATGTTTCTACTACCATGATTTACAGTGCATACAACCATGTATTTTCTATTATTTAATAGACATTATTTACATTGCCTTGTTGAGAAAGGGAATGTAAATTCCCTTTGGCATGCTCTGCCATACTTTTAAGACATCAGAATTTCCTAGTAACTTATAATTTTACATTCAGCTTTGAAGCTGACAATATTTACTTAAAAGCCACTGAAGTGCTTAAACAGATATGTGGAAACAGAGCTAATGTTTAGATGCATCTGCCCCATGGCATTTATGTCATGGGGTTCCTCAGGGCTCAATACTGCCCCCCATGTTGTTCAACATCTACATGAAACCGCTGGGAGAGGTCATCAGGAGGTTTGGGCTGAGGAGTCAGCAATATGCTGACGACACTCAGCTCTACCTCTCGTTTTCCACCAATCCAGGTGAGGCAGTTTCTGTGCTGAACTCGTGTCTAGACCTGATAATGGACTGGATGAGGGTTAATAAATTGAAACTCAATCTAGACAAAACGGAAGTGCTGTTAGTGGCTGCTTCACCGGACAGGCTGGAGGGCCATTTCCCCGCCCTGAATGGGGTTACACCTCCCCAAGGGACAGGGTCCGCAGCTTGGGGGTGCTCCTGGAACCCAGTCTAACACTGGAAGCCCAGGTGGATTCAGTGGCCAGAGGCACCTTCCTTCAGCTGCAGAAATTATACCAGCTACGGCCCTACCTGGACGAGCGGAGTCTCATGAAAGTCACACACGCACTGGTAACATCCCGCATAGATTACTGCAATGCGCTCTACGTGGGGCTGCCTTTGAAGATGGTCCGGCAACTGCAACTGGTCCAGAATCGAGCTATGCAGCTGGTGAGTGGTGCAGCCGCCAGGGAACATATCAAGCCGATTCTGCATAAGTTACATTGGCTACCAGTTGCTGCCCGGGCCCTATTCAAAGTGCTTGTTTTGACATATAAAGCCTTAAATGGCTTGGGCCCTGGATACCTGAAGGACCGCCTTCTTCCATATGAGCCTACCCGGCAATTAAGATCTAGCCGGGGGCCCTTTTGAAAGAGCCGTCCCTTAAGGAGGTAAGAGGGACGACTTGTAGACAAAGGGCCTTTTTGGCAACTGCCCCCAGACTACGGAATGCCCTCCCGACTGAAATTCGTCTAGCGCCGACGCTGATGACATTTCTAAATGTTGTAAGCCGCCCAGAGACCTTTAGGTAGTGTGGGTGGCATATAAACAAACAAACAAACAAACAAACAAACAAACAAACAAACGAATGAATGAATGATGAGGTCAAAACATAAATGCTTGAAATACTTACTGAAATCACCGGTAAGAAACACTGCTTTTGCTCCAGGAGCCCATTCTTTGCAATATAGCCCTCCATCAACGAATTTGTTGATTCCAAATGTTAGGTAACTCTTGGTGAATTTGTCAAGGCCACCTTCATTTTCTTCAATGCTCTTCAACGTATGATGAAAGATCCCATACCTTTCAATAAAAGAATGTTAGAAAAAATGTTATCAAATAGCTACATAACAAATTTCAAGGATAGTCAGATTTTTACACTTGTTCAATCAAATTTATTACACTACAGTCATCTTCATTAACCCCTTTAAACTTTGGCGAATGTATTATACAACTAAATTAACTATGACCTATGAACTATATAGTAAAAATCACATTTTTAGCACATGTGATGTGCTAAAAATAGTTCAAAAAAGTGATGGAAGTATTACAGTTATGACAAAGACAGCAATGCATCACTATACATGTGTGTGTATAATTATTACAACTCATGTAGTACAAAGACAGCAATGCATCATTATACAAGTGTGTGTATAATTATTACAACTCATGTAGAACATTTTAAAGTTTAGATAAGAAATATGTATAAAACAATAGATCAATTAACCACACTGAATATCAATAGTCTCAATTTTACACACACTGTACTTTAAAATCCATTAAACAATTCATATGAAGAGATATAAGTCAGCTTTCTTATATCAAGTTCACAGCAAGAGGGAAATATAAACAAAATGATTTCCAGGGTTCCTTTGATAAGACCACCCTCAAACAACAAAGAGAGACTTATGCCTTTATTGTAAATTGTAAAGCCTGCCAGATGTTTTGCAATAAAATTAGGAATGCATTAAGAACTGCTTATTTCTGGCACTTTCTATAACATTATACTCTCTATGCCGTAACCTGGAGTTTAATATATAGGAGTGATTGTTTCCCCTCCTTCACTTTGTTTGCTATGCTCTATTTCATTGACTTCAACTACTAAATTACTAATTTTTCAAAATATAAGAATTATTATGCTAAAAGCAACAGCCACCAAAACACCCCACAGTTTCCGTATAGACCACTTTTTCTTCATAAAACACAAGCTAGAGCATGGCACCTCTATTGTAAAATACTCGGTTTTATCTAGTTTAAAAGGGTCATTTGTTCAAAGGAAACATCAATCATAGTGACAACTAAGATATTACACCTTGGGGAAAAATGCCACTGCTGGGAAACAGTCTCAGGTTTATTTAAAGCTGTGGTACAGAAAGAGTCACTTTAGAAACATTATATTAAGAGGCTCCATAGGTCTCATTTATTGGTTATTCCTGTTGATTATATTAACTTTTTACTTGCAAGGTTAAGCCTTCCCCATAGCTTTTGTTCAAGAAACCAATACCAACCTCACAGCCAATAAACATCTCAGAAGAAGCAACACCCAAGGACAGAGAGCATGCTCATATACTCTTCTTCGTCCATTTGAAGACATCCACCCCCAACGTTACATCTGGGAAATCTACTGGTGGGTGTAATGTATCAAAACTGTGTAATGATTTTTTGTAACCTCCAGAGCCAGCTCTCTCATTATGCAGTACATAACTCTCTCTCTCTCAAGAGCATCTAAATATAAAGTTGCCTTCTCAACAAACATGTCTGACAGGTGATGGAATTTTAAAGCTTGCTGCAATTTAATCTGAATGCATAAAATATAAGTCAAACAAAAAAGGTGGGAAAAGATGACTTGTACATCTTTGGAGGGAAAAAAGGTCAAAGAACAGCATGATAACAAGGCACTGTGACACAGGTTTCAAATATATCACAAGGGAGAAGTGGTTCAAGGTTTTTATGGGGAAACTATCATGGCTGCCAGCAGCTTCTCCAGACACACTGAATCAACACCCTCTCTATGGGTGAGAGGATGTTGAAAAAATACATTTGTCCATTATGCTGCAGCCAGAGCTATGACAATTGTTTACAGGAACCCCCTTGTTACACCAGTTTCACTGGCTAACACTGTGTTTCTGTGCAGAATTCCAAATACTAGTCATATCCTATAAATCCCCACATGACTTGGGACCAAACTATTTGAAAAAGTACGTTCTTCCACATAAGCCAATCTAGATTTTCAAATCCTTGAGAAAGGCCCTTTTCTCCCTCTCAGCACAATTAGAGCCACATTTGATGGGAACACACAAAAGGGCCTTCTCAGTGGCTCTGGGATTTCTTGGTAAGTGGAACTAGATCCCTATTCAGGTTACCTGAATGCCTGAGGAGAGAGAGCTCAACAGCACAACCCTCTCCACCGTTGCCCACTCAGCACATGGAGCCCCCAACTGCTTGATAAAAGATGGTGATTCCCAACCTTGGGTCCCCAGATGCGTTTGAACTAAAATTCCCAGAAGCCTTCACCACCTGTGCTAGCTAGCATTTCAGGGAGTTGTAGTCCAAGAACATCTGGGATCCCAAGGTACATGCAGACTTCATGCAGCAGTCAATTCCTCAAGGGATACCAAAACTGTGCCAGCTTCTTACTAAACATTAGAAAACACAGTGGCCTGCAAGGGGAAGGTACATTTCTTGGGATTGTGGGATTCTATGAATTATCAAATATACTGGGACTAGAATGAAAGAGGAGTTATAACTGGACTTACCAAATATAATTTTTAAATAATAGGACTATGGCACTGTAGAATCTGAACAAGTAGACATAAAGTGGGCCAAATCAATGAATTTTTCAATTCCCATGTATGTCATCTAAATATTTATAAGAGTTTTAAGACAACTTGTGTCACTTGTGAATGTGTTTATTCTTCTCATTTATCAGTTACATGCTGGCAAACTGAGACAAACTTTCAACATTATATTCAACATTCAGTGAAGAAGGGATTTAAGCAGCCAGATGCTGACAGTTCTATTTTAAGACAAGAAGTTATAGATACACAATCACTAATACTGAAAGGCTGGACATTGCTGATATACTTATTCAAGAAGAGCAAAAGTCTATAGATCAAAGTTGAATTACTGCCCCACAATGAAAAAAAAATCTAAATTTTTTATTCTGGAAAAAAATTATTCTGGGTCTCTGGAATCACCAACATGTAATATTTCTTCCTCTGAGTTTTAGGGGTTTTTTAAAGATAAAATTCCATTTTCAGTTAAGCCCATTACTGGGTTTAAATATCATACAGTGAGCAAAAGAGAACCCAACAACAAAAGAGTCAGTCTGGATCAGACCAAAGATTTATCTGTTCCAGCATGCTGTTCACACAGTAGCCCACCAGACAGATGCCCATTGCAATGGTATCTTCTCCCTCTTGTCCCCTAGCCACTGGTATTCAGAGGCTTCTGCCACTAGAAGCACTATATTGCTATCCTGACTACCTATTGATAGGCATATCCTCCATGAATTTCTCTAATTACCTTGTAAAACTGTCCACTTTGATGTCCCTGACAACTGCACAGTTCTGTTCATTCACTGGTGGTATGATGAATGTGGTCGTATGTGAAAGTGCTGAATAAACTGTGGAATGCAGAAATAGCTGGAGTAGATGACACTGATGCTCCTCAGTGCCCCCTTTTGCAACTGCCTGTATTTTCAACTGGGATTCTTTTCAACTTATTTCAAGAATGTGGACAGAATGTATACAATGGTGAGAGTTACCACTTACTCACTCAATCCTTGCCCCTCCTGCGAAGGTGGGATGGGTTAGTATGTTTAAATCATGTAATAAAACACCTCCTTAGAAAAGAATATGTCACTGCAACTTCAGACACTCCTGGGTGATACTCTTTATCAGTAGCCATTTTAGGAAGGCATTTAGCCAAAATAGGGAACTGAGGCTGCTTTGGTCACCTTGGGAGACAAGTTTTACTGGGGACATCAATCATATTAGTTCTCCTAGACTTTATAACAGCATTTGATACCACTCATCATATTGGATCGTCTGGCTAGGAGGAGTACTGAAGGCATTGTATACAGTGGTTCCTATCCTTCCTGTCAGGTGGTGTTTGGGAAAGCACTATAGCCATTGGCATCTCTCGGGCTGATTATGATTCTATCCTGATGGTCCAACATCAGGTGAAGGCTTTCCAGGTCTGGGCCCGAATGGAAAGAGACCCTATATAACGATGTCCTGTAGACATAGATATAATAATATTATTTTATAATAATATCATATTGTGTCATGAAGTCAATTCTAACTTATGGTGACCCTTTCGGGTTTTCCTAGGTAAAGAGTACTCAGAAGTAATTCACTTTTTTTTGGGGGGGAGTCTCTTCTCTCAGGACATACAGTGAGGAACTGAACGCCCAATCTTTGGCTCTGCAGCCAGATGTCCAACTCACTGAGCTATCCCATCAACTCACCACTTATATATTGACCCACATCAAAATCTTACAGAGGGCCACCCCCAGAGAGTGCAGCTTGGGGAGAATATTTCGATCCCGTGGAGTCTCAAATGTGGGGTTCCGCAGGGGTCGACTATTTCTCCAATGCTGTTTAACATCTATATGAGCACGCTGGGTGGGGACATCAGGGGGTGTGGAGCATCATGTCATCAATATGCTGATGACACCCAGCTCTACATCTCCTTTTCACCAACTGCAGGTGATGCCGTCCTGTCCCTCCAGCGCTGCTTGGGGGCCGTACTGCAATGGATGCAGGAGAACGGGCTGAAGCTGAACCCAGACAAGACGGAAGTTCAGAGGGTGGGTGGCCCTGTGGATGGTGGCTTGGGAAACTCCCTCATGTTTGGGGGGGTGGCCCTGGCCGCAAAGAGTGGGGTTC